CTCTCTGGCTGGCGACAGAGTGACGTCCCTTTGTTCCCGCGACACCCAAAAGGGTATAAGCGGCGGATAAAAGTAAGAGTAAAGTGTTGAGTACACTTAGAAAAGAACAAAACAAAAAGGAAACAATACCGCTCGCAAATTCGGAAATAGGATTCATTTTGTACACTTACTTCCTTACGCCAGAGTGAGTTAAGAGTAGGAGTGGGCAAACTACAGCTGTCGGACCAAACGCAACCCTTCAAGGAATATTATTGAGTTAGACCGGCGGAAACGTTCGGCAAAATAATATAAAAAAAAAATCAAAAAAAATCGCAATAGTGGGGAATCTGTCATTATACTCTTGATTAGACTCAAGCTTTTATTGTGAGAAGTAAAGAAACCTTCTTTTAAAAAAATAATTAATTTCCATTCATTTTATTTTTTTGGACGTGAACAGAATAGAAAATTGATCTGTATTCATTTCTCCCCCCCCCAAAAAAAAAAACAACAACAAAAAACAACCAACAACACAACAACAATCCCTCCCCCCCAAAAAACCAAAACACAAAAAAACAACAACCCCCAAACATTTGACATGAATAAATTTTCGTAACTCTGGTGAATCTGTCATTATGTCATTATGCTATAGATATGATACCAGCTTTTATAGTGCTAAGTAACGAAACATTTTTTTTTTATTAAACATTTTTCTTTTTGTTCTAGTAACGTAAGTTACATTTTGTATTTTTTTCATTAAAAGAAAAATAACGTTACCCTGCGTACTTTGCCAGTTTTAAAAAGGGGCTGTTTGTGACCTAATTGAAACAGCGCTCATTTGACATGATGCAGTTCTGAGCACCGTATGCCAAATTAAAAGTTGAAACTGGCGTCTGTGATGGAGCAGTTAGGTGCTTCGCTGTCGCACGGTGACCCGACTTCGTTTCCTGAGTGGGGAGAACTTTTATCAAGTATCTCGGTCTCTCTGTTGGAATGTTGTATCCCTGTCAGCCTGGTTGGTCCTGAAAGACAGGGTCGGAAGCCCACCTTCAAAATGATCAAAATTTTGTCTATGGGGTTTTAAAAACAACTTCATTAAAAAGAGCAACACAAAGCAAATTCCAACCAAATCGAAGTGGCTCCAATTCCGAGAATTTAGAAGTTTGCCTAGCCCTGGTATAGAGAGCCTTCTGCGCAGTTTCCACCGTCGGACTTTAACCGCCTCGTTACTACCAGATTTCACAATTCTGTGCGCACAAGTCTCTCACACCTCCCACACCATACGTACTTCCTCAAGCACTATTTGTTTCACTTCAAAGAAATTGTGTCTCATACAGCTCACCGACCTTGTTCTTTGAGTAAAGAGAAGCACTTTGATGCAATCAAGGTTATACAGTGCCGAGAAGAAGGAAGATAGATAGATAGAAAGAACAGAGGGAAAGAACAGAAGTAGGACCTAGATCTAAAAGTGGCGCCTTCCTACCACCCGTCCTCACCTATCCGTATTCTTAACCGTGAGCAAACAGTTTAAGAGTGAAATGCAAACAGAAAAGCAACAAGGTGAGGCAAAATGACAAATAGTGTTTTGTCAAAGAAAGGTGACATCCTCTTGTTTTATGACGTTTGTTCGTCCGTCTGTTTGTCTTTCTATTCGTCTGTCTGTCTGTCTGTCTGCCTGTCTTTCTGTCTGTCTGTCTGTCTGTCTGTCTGAGAATCAAGAATGTAGTTTCTCATAGCGCACTCCCTTGCCTTAGACTTATCCAAAATTCAGTTTAGCTGCCAGACTCTATCATTCTGTCTGTCTGTCTCTCTCTTTCTCTCTCTCTCTCACTCTCTCTCTCTCTCTCTCTCTCTCTG